TCGTTTTATACTTGTGACTGTTTTGGAGGTTTGCGTCTCACCAATAAAGGAAAAAACACTCACGGAGATCTTTTTTAGGTTTTTAGTTTAATGATAGAAAGTTAACACAATAATTCTCTGTTGTTTACTTTAAACATATGTTACAAACCATTATCTTAAATTTGTTTCCCACAACTTATTTGGTCACTAAACTATTTTACTCCCCTCTCATTCAAATATAAAAAACTCCCAAGCTGTAGTCTTTCCCCGTACATACTACCCATTAGGATGACCTTATTAGGATGATGAGGATCTGATACAATTTCCCAATAATTTTATGTAACAGTTATTTGAAACAAGAAAAAAATAAAATAGATAACCTTGATTGTCCAGAACAATAATAAAAGTAATAATAGGCTACCAATCAACTACTATGGCTTCAACAGGTGGCATTTTATGCAAGGGATCGAATGAAGTACTCTATCGGTATCAGTATCACCTTAAGGGTACTGGTTTTGGTACTGGTATCATAAAACACCCAACTTTAGTGATGATACACGAAAACTGGACGAGAAGATTTTAACACTATTTTGAAGAAACATGAAATGCTGAAATAAATGAGCGGGGGTCTACAGGTCCTCCCTCAGAAATTTGGAGCATTAAACACTTAATTTCCTGCATTCTGGTGACAAAAACAAATGTTTTTAAAAAGTGATGGGGATGAAATCAGCCATTTCAAAAAAATGTTACCAGTGTAAATGACACATATGAGTAAAAATAATCTGTGATTTGTGATGTCTGTTCAGAGAAATCTTCATGTGTATTTAAGCATCCATCGTGCCCAAGGTAAAATACCATAAACGTTGACATGACCCTACATTGAGAAAATGCTTACTGTACTGCAGACTGTAAAAAAGGCATGAGTCATGTTTCATTTGCAGAAACAAGGAGACAAACAAAATCAGCTTTCAAATAAATGATAGCATTTACATGGTCATTTATATAATTTCGGTAGCATTTAATCTATATTTATGTCCAACAGTGTAAGTTAGTTGTTTAAAGGCATTTAGGCCTAAAAGCAAAATAATTAAATCTTTAGAAAGTTTAATTTATGATTCTGATATTAATTTATGCTCTAACCTAAGTTCAGTCAGGACGCTCATCAATGTTTGAACGGTTTGTTGCAACTAGTGTCAGTGACCCCAAACCTTCCAGGAGTTAAAGTAGTTTTCAACAGGATTCAATAAGCGAGTCTTTGTTTTATGTCCTATTAAAGGGTCGACTGTCTGTTGCTGTGATCCTCGTGTTTCTGATGTTTATCTGGTCATTAGAGGGTAAAACCTGCAGAACTCTGCTGCTGTTACAGGGTACAAGGTAGTTTATTTATCATTATACACAAGGTTGTATAATGAAAAGAAATAGTCCCTTCATGCTACACATGCAGAACTTAATAGATAATTAAATGTGTATAAAAACATATAAACTTATAATATAGAAGGCCAACTGAAGGCCTCACTGATGTAAAACATCATATATCATATCCACTCATCTTGGTACGGACTGATCAAGGACGTTCATGGGGCCAGGTTAGTTATGATCCGAGCTTTGTGGGGGTCTCTGATATAACTAATCATCATCAAGTGTGATTATTTTACACACTGCTAGCCGCCAGCACACAGTAGCAAGCAGATTATCATGTGTATTGTTCTTCTAATTGGAGGATGTATCATAAAGCCAATAATACAAAACAACCAAGCAGCAGTCAGACAGAGTCTAATACAGTAGGTCTCATCCTGCATTACAGTTAGGTGGCTGCCTGGTGGAGAAGTGCAGCCATCCTGTGGTCATGTGGTGCGCAGCATATTTGGAAAACATGTTCATTTTAGCCTGTTTATCTCGTTAATGTAAATAATACTAAAGAAATACAAAATACATTATTTGTGATTCAAAATAATGAATTAGTGACCCCCACAGGTGCATGATTTTACTGCTTCCATGGGAGCTTAGACCTGAGCACGTAACTCGAACCCTGGATGGGACGGGTCCCTGTTAAGATGTGGGCACAACAGTCTCTGATTTCCGTTGCTTGTCCTACATGAGTCCCATTTTGTCCAGACAGACCTTCAGGAACAGCTTTAAGTCCAAGCTGGGTCTACATGGCTGTCCTGGCCCTCTTTTCTTTCCTCTGGGTGATCACTGCACCCGCAGTGGTGCCTGGTCCGGCTGATCTGCCTGGTGATCGTCTAAGATCCGCTGCTCTTAAATCCAAAAGCCGGCTTCCTTTTCCAATAACTGTATTTCTGTCATAGGTAACACATGTTTCAGCAATAAAGCCGGAACAAAACAGAAACACAGCAAACTGCAACATGTGCTGGTTGAGGTTTTCTCACCAAAACACTTCCGGTTCAGTTCAATCCAGAGAGACTTCATTGAAAAACAGAGGCTTAAAGAGTAATTAACATGAAAAGGAACAGGAGAGTTTAAGAAATGTGAGAGGGATGTGTGACCTACCTGGTGGAGGAACTGTGACGGCAGAGGCCAGTGAATGTTGAGCAGCTCGAGTCAGAGTGGATGTGAGGGGCTGGTTGAACACAGAGACAGGCTGTAACAAGGAGGCCTGGGTGATGAAATTAGATGAGGGTGTTGTCAGAGTGACCTAAAGAAGCAGATGAGGCTGGGTGAGAAGGAGAATGAGAAGGATAAGAGGTCTTTCTCCTCTTAGGCTGAGGAGGACCTGATTTCTTGGTCCTTTTGCAGCCCTGAGCAGGCCCAGAGGGGGGACCAGTTGGAGCAGAAATGTGTTGAACAGGAGGTGGTGAATACTGACAACTGCTTGATCCACCAGCTGGTGGAGCGAGAGAGGGAGGGAGGCCTGGAGCTGGAGTGATGCTGCAGTCTTTTATCTGGTCGGGGTCCTCCAGGAGAGAAAAGACAGTTTGAAAGTTTGACAGCAACAATATGATTGGCTCACAGAGGTTGTGGCAAATTCTGATTGGTTTAACTGAAAGAATGAACGCCTTTAATCAGTTGATTGAGATTTAACAGAAAAAAGGAAGCGAGGGTATGTAAAAGAGAAAACATGAAATACATCTTCCTGATAAAACTTCTGCTGAGCTTCAATTCTCCGGGAAAAAAATGCAAAGATAAAATGAGGAACCAGCAGATCTCAGAGCAGTAAAATATCATCTTATCTGTGTTCTTCAGCAGCTGCTACAGTATCACCATATTGCACCATGGACATCAGGAGTCAGATTCTGGTGGGAGAGGAGTTTGACTCTTCACCTGTCTGTTCATGTGTGCTGTCAAACATCACCATGGATCCTGTCTGTTTTCTAATAAACACTATCTGAAGAAAACAAGTTGCATCATTGCAAACATTTATCTTAACTAACAATCTTCACACCTTCAACTTCTCTTTTTCTACAACTACACCATGTGACTGGACAAAGCGTGAACTTGAGTCCTAATATTGTTGTTTGTTTCAGCGTTAGATGCATCCAGAAACATATTCCTCTTGTAATTAGTGACTTTGTTGTCTTTACTCGCTCATTTCAGTTTTACAGGATCTGCGTGAGACTACAGCGTCCTCTGACCTCTGACATCTTTACTGACGGCAGCATCTGATATTGCTATATAATAATTTGGAGTCTCTTCAGTCACTGACAGCGTCTCTACTAAAGCACTAGTTTAGAAACTCAGACAGTTCTGAGCACGAGAACAAGAGACAGAAGAAGGAGAGACTCAGAGAATCATGATGGTTGAGTTCAAATGGATTTCTTTATTTCTTACAGCGGTGCTTCAGTTTACAGGTAAGAATACATATATCACATATATAAATGGAAGGCACATTGTAAAAAATAACTTGATCAATATTATTAAAGATTCTTTATTAGCTACATTTGATTTAACTAAGAAAACCAAATCTGTTGTTTCTAATGTGGTGAGTTTAGTGAACTCTTGGAAACTAAGGATAAAGAAATAATCGTCACTAACTATGAACATAACAGACATTTTCTCATTTCACTTTATTTTTCATCATTTTCTCAACAGCAGCAGCTGAAAACTTCCCCTCTCCTTCACTGTCAGAGTTGGAGATGAAGTCACTTTGCCTTGTGAAAATGTGATAGACGGTCAGCAAAATGTGAATATACTACATGGCTCTTTGTTGGTTCAGGAAGCAGATCACAGTAGAGCTGGTTAACTTGGGCAGATTGGTGAAAACGCCAAATCTAAATCAGACAGACTGAGTGTTACAGAGAACTGTTCTCTGTTTATAAAGAAGGTCACAGTCGAGGATGTTGGTCGTTACACCTGCAGACAGTTCATATCAGGACAACAACAAGGTCCAGACTCTCAGGTTTATCTGTCTGTTATTAACAGTGAGTATTTCCATCATAATGTTTTCAGCTCAAACTGTCTTGTTAGAACAATATACTGAAACATTACAATAATTATGATCACAGTGATGAAGTTAACTTTACTCTTGTTGTCTTTCTCTCACAATATCTCCATCTTCACCAGTGACTGAACGTAAGGACGCTGATGAGGTGACATTGTGGTGCTCTGTGTTGAAAATGAACAGTTCTGTAGTCACACAGTGAAGTGGCTGTATGAGGGTAAAGATGTGGACAAAGATAACAAAGACATGAAGACATCACAGTCTGTCTGCTACGCCACTGTGTCTTTCCTGGATTCTCATTTTAGTTACAAATCAAAGTCTAACTTGAAGTGTGAAGTGACAGATGGTTCCTCTGGAAAAGTGCAGCTGTTCACCTTCAGCCCTCAGTCCTCAGGTGAGAAAACAGGTGAGAATATGCTGAGCTGTTCAAGATGACTAAAACCACCAAAACATTTGTTTATTTGATGACTTTTTAAGATGACATCATTCTTTCTCATTTAGTGACAGCAGATGGTAAACATGAGGGATTTTCTAACTCAACAGTTTCTTGGGTTGTGTTATTTCATTCATGCAGGTGACGCACAAACAACAACAACAACACCAGAAAACACAAAATCAGTTACAACCAATGACCCTTCAACAGAACGACAAGGTAGTAACTCATCTTTCTCTGGAGTCTCTCTGTTTCCTGTCAGCCTCTTTCTCTCCCCATGCTAAATTTCATTATTTAACTTTTTCTTTTTTATGGCAAAAATAAATGTAAAAAGCCTCTTAAATTAAGGTTACTTTCACACCGACCTTGTTTATTCCGGTTGAACCAAACCCTGGAGTGTTTAACCCCTTGGTGCGGTTTGTTTGGGTTGGTGTGAACGCTGGACTTGAACTTTGGTGTGTATCAAACAAACCGCTCTCTGCTCCACCTCAATGAGGTGGTCTAGGATGCTGTCAAGTGAATTCTGGAACGATTTATTTCTGGTGTGAACGCCATTTGAATTAAACACTGAAGCTATCATTGTAGGCCTGTTTCTTTAAAATTGTTTTTATTTATTTGTACTGTACTATTTAATGTTTTATTGTCATTTACAATATTTCATATTATCAGAACCTAGGTTTATTACCAAAATAGGTTTCACGGTTTGCCAATTTGCCCAGGTGTTTGGTTCATACAATTTACACTTTAGAAGAGGAAATAAAAAGAAAGACAAAGTACGCTACTGCAACAGTCAATAACTCGGGAGGCATGCCTGTCAAACGGAAGGCAGCTCAGGGAGGACAGAAGGGCAAAAGCTCGCTTGATCTTGATTTTCATCATGATAGAGAATAGAAAAACAGTCAAAATATGAACAACCTATCTAATATAATAATATGCTTAATAAAGTCGCTTTGGATAAAAGTGTCTGCCAAAACAGTAAATGTAAATGTAATGTAATGTAATTAGCATATAACTAAAATGATTCTCTGCGGGTCAACAAACACACGTGGGAGCCGCATGCTCTCTTGAAGGGACTGCAAAACTGACCTGTATCACACAGGAAAAGACTATTTTAGAATAAGTCTAGAATGCATGTTTATTGGCAATGTTTTATATTATTAGGCCCATTGTCATATATGTTTAGGGCTATATCTATCACAATAATTGAAAGCCATAGGACTTCTTTAGGGCAACAGGCGGTTTGAAAAAATATATCTGCAACAGCATTTGTTTTAATGATCATGTAGCCTACCCAAAAGTTACCACTCTATACAAGGTTGTTTATTAGTCATTATCCAGCACAAGGCTGCATAACAAAATTAAATTTGTAGTACTTTCATGCTACACACAAGTGTAGGCCTATATTCAAATATGGTAACATATAAAATAAAACAAGATATATACCGTTAGTGTCCACCAAAGCGCTTTTTTTAATTCCTTGCAATGGAAGCGCTGGTAAAAACGCCAGCAGCATGACAAGGCGCTGAGCTTCATGGAAAAGTAGAGTACAAAAATGTTCAACTTTGGGAAAGACGCTGCGCTCGTCACTGTCACTTTTTACCTAGCTGTCCAATCACAATAGAGGAGAGGCGAGACAAATACCACACCGTTACAACGGTTACTATCCTGGAACAGGGCTGATCTAACATCAGCTCTTGGACCAAACGTACTCGAGTCCGTCCTCTGTCTCTACCTGCTTCCGGCGTCTCTTCATACAGAGCAAGGGCCAGAGCTAGTCCTCTACTCTGTGTTGACATTTTTATATCCAGTAAAGTTGGGTAGAACTACTTGCAACCATGGATTTTATGTATCATTGCAACAATGCTGCGCCTCAAAAACACACCCTGGCGCCAGGCCCGCTTTAAGGCCTTTTCACACGGGAAGCGCACTCCATCTGCGAAGTCACCTGACCCCGCGAGGTCGCTCTGCGCTTCTCTTGTGAACAGACACCAAGACAAGCGCTCCGCAAGTAAACGGAAGGCAGTCAATAGATAGTAACCACGGCAACGGCTTCTGTGTGCCACTGTATACCTCCATAGCCTCGCTTAAAGTAACGTTAGTTGATATATAGCTATATTTTATTATTCATATAGCTGATAAATCTAGTCATGCAAACGCCCTCCAGTTAATGTCCCAACTGTTTAGTGAACACATATATTTCAGGGAAGTCACAGATGGCGAGGATCAGTGTCTCATCCATCTTCTTTTTGTGCTGCGCGTTGCGTAGGCTACAGAAAGTTCAAGTCAATTCAACTTTGGCAGGGGCGGGCTTGTTCGTGAGACGAGCACGGGGCTTCAGCCCCAGTAAGCCGCTGCATTAATGCGGGCTTGCTTAGCGCTCCCAGCTAGGAGTTTTCAGCTGGTAAAAAAACACTTTGGTGGACACAGGCCCTTAGGCTATTTATATACATAGGCCTACACGTAAAAACCCCGAACATTCCACAGAGCATTTTTTGAATTTGCATCTGGGGTAAACAGCAGCAACCAGATAATATGGTTTCATCTGCACAATAAACCGTCTGATATTTGGGATGGATTGAGTCCACCTTGACTGCGTTTGTGCACAAAGCATCATTGATGTAAAACAGTTCACTTCCTCATCTTGCCGGAGTCTTGCGCTCACAGCTCGGAATATGGACCACCTGCTGAGTGCTTGATGATGTTGATAGGGCAGGTCTCTGTAATGATATGAGCACAACAGTCTCCGTTGCTTGGTCAACATAAGTCCCATTTTGTCCAGACTAGATCTTTAGGAGCAGAATTATGTCTATATAGACAGTCTTGCCATGTTGGCAAATGAAAATGGATGCAGAGTTTATGCATGTTTACTTTCTGCAAGTGGATCCCCCCTGTGCCCCTGTAACACAGACCTTGGACCCTCTATGGCCCCCCTCAGAACAAAGAGTCTACAATAATCATAGACGGTCAAGACCCATCGGCAACAGTTTGTAACGCACTAGGGAACCCTATCGTGTCATAGTTCAACGCAGTGGGGGAAGCCCTGTAGCGTCAGTTTGACCGTAAACGTAGGCATATGATATGTAACCGAGGCAAATAGTGAGGGGTTCAAATCCCCAAATATTCAATTACTAGATGCCATGGGTTTTCCACAATTAATAAAATTCGAAGACATGAGTTTTGACCAGAAGATTTATTTAAACAATTAATAAAAAAATAAGATGTAGATGCCAATACTGCCAGAGATGCTAAGGGATAAGAGCACAGTTACAAACACCTCAGCATCAACAGGGGCCAGACCTGGGGGGGCACCCAGGTGCCTTGACACCACCACTCACACTGGTGTGCAGCCACCTAGACACAGCAAGACACACACAAACATCACACAATAAAACTAAGTAAAGCATGCACACACAGCTGTCATACCCACCACCACATGCATTGAAGGGGAAAGGGGTTCCCACAATCCACCACCCTGTCCATCTGGCAGAACACTAAAAGGGGGAAAAAATGGTTAACAAGCTGAGGAAAATCTTACAGCCAAAAAACAGGGACAACCGCTACACCCTTAGCAGACCTTGGCAGTTGGCAACCACATTCACAGGGGCCCATCCACCTGTAATAAATCTCATAAAATAAGAATAGACATAACAATTCAAACACAAATAGTTAATAATTTTTATTTCAGTAGTTTTGTTTAGTTTTGTTAGAGTTTTGTTTGCCTAAACCAAACCAAAGTGCAACGTTTCACGACTTTAATAACGTGCCGTTTCAAAATGGCGATGTTTCGAAATGCTAGTGTTTTATTTTGAAAGTCTAACCGGACTGTAGCATGACTACACTGTTTTAATAAATTTATGAGTATTAATACCCAATTATGAATTTTAATATTCAGAAAATATTAATCCATAAATCTCTCGTTTTGCGGGGCACCACCGCAGTTTTAATTAACCCAGAGTCTCCAGACCTCTGGGTAGCATTTTAATAATTATACAATTATTCACCAGTGATCAGTTAGCTAATAATCGCTCAATTATCTTAAATCAATCAGTCATTCTTATATTGAAGGGGTAAATTCTCTTGGCAGGGACTTGGAGAGAGGCAATACACACAATTCCTTGATGACAGTGAAGTTTGTTAACTAACTAAGGTGACACATCAAAGAAATAAACAATGGCTAAACAATGAGAAGGGGTTCTATTGTGTGGAGCATTTGACTCATACGGGCAGCTAATGAACGCAATTAGATGATAACTCGGTTAAATTTGTCCAGGAGTTTCAAGGATTAAATATACTGGACTGACAGACTATGGGACATCCCTGATCACAGAGTGCAGGGTTTTGGTCTTACTGCTTGTGTTTCTCCCCGCCGGGTTGCTGGTAAAACGGCCTCAGACTGGCAGAGTCCGTTTAGTTTAGCTTTCTGGATATAGGCTATTGGCTGTTACATATTCTTAGAGAATATAAGCAAGATACACGAATGGCATTAGATTATCGACAGGTAAATAAAGAGATATTTATACATTTCAGACGATAGCCTGTAATACTTCTTCTGTTCCACTTGGGGGAGCTTGGGTTACATGACGATATCTCTGATTAATCCTAAAACAATCTTCTCAGGAGCTGGGGAATTTAGTCATTTTAAACCTTAAATTCAAGCTGGAAAATTAATCGAGTATAGGATGACATTTCTTTATCATCATTTCTAAAGGAGGTGTCTGAAAGTGTTGGGAAAAAGCATTGGTTACACATAAAATGAAGGAATGTCATTAACCTTGCTGAAAATTAAAACATCCGGTACTTTGATGTCTTGAGGCACCCTAGAAGGAGAGGCATTGGACACTTCTTTTGCTGTCCTGCTAAGTGTCTATTGACACCATTACGGCATCCGTAAGCGATGCATGTCTGATTGAGTCTCTGCAGACTCTTACCAAACACCAGGCGATGTCTCTAGTTTTTGCATGTCAAAAGGCCAAGAAAACTTTCCTACCCCCTCCTTTTTCTCAGAGAGAGAGAGGGAAGGGATTTTTGAGTCTCCAAATTATTTGATATATGCACAAATCCACACTGTTGGTACACAACAGGACGTTACATATTTGTTGTTGCTAACTTTACAAGACGTTGCATATTTGTTGTTGCTAAGCGTTGCTAACTTGGCTGCGGAGCCTGATGCGAGGATTATAGTTTCCGTGTGTGCAAGTACGCGAGGGTCCGCTAGAGTCAACGTGACGAAAAAGTCTTCATCAGAGGGGGTATGCATAGAGTCTGCGCAGACGTCCGCGTGCCTCCTGTTTTTTGTCATATCTGCACCAGATCCACACGGCGACTACCGCTACCAGGGCAACAACCAATCTACTGCGCATGTGTGGAACATGTCCGCCATCAGGGCTGGACTGGTAATCTGGCATACCAGGCAAATGCGGTTTGGGGCTGGTGTAACGTAAATTATTTATTTATATTAACTGTTTTTAAAAAACGTGCCATAGATCATCCCATAAAGCATGGACAGTCGCCCATTGGGTAATTTTCTGTACTGACATTGGGCTGGCCCAATCACATCTCTTACTAGCCCCCACTCGTGATTCCAACTCTGAAACTTCGTAAGATGTTCAGTTTTGCCCTTGAACTTTGTTTCTATCTTGTCACAGAAAATACACTGATTAGGAAACAGGAAGGTATAGTACATTCAGATCAAACTGTCTGAGATTTGTGCAGGCGTAGGGAGTCCTTTATTGATGATGATGATGATGATTTACCACGTAGAAGCGTTTGAGGCTTGTAAATGATCCTAGTTACCTATGAATCTGAACAGTTTTGATGAAGCCAGTTGTGTCCATACGCAAGCTCTCCAATATCAATGGTATCTTGTCACAAATATCCTTCATATGGTAGTGTGAAGTGAAAGCTTACTTTGCTCCCCCTGCATTTTACACTATGGTGCACTGTGTAGCCATAAGGAAAAACTATGCAGATAATTAATTTGAAAATGCATGAGATAAAGGTCTGCATGGGCACTTAGACTCAGATCAGGATTGGTACTGAAAAAACATGACTGGGAAATCCTTGAACACACACAGTTTGATGCTTTCCAGGAGTCATTTTGTGATTTCTGTTGGCGTTTGTCTAAAGCTTCGGTAGCACTGTCATCTCACACCAAGAGCTTGTTGTTAAAGTCCAAGCAGGTAAATTTAATGCAATTAGATTTGTCTTGTCCCCCATGACCTTCAGCAGGATAAACATTTATCAAAAATGGAAGTAACTTTGCAGACAAATGCAGAGAACATTTGCACTGAAATTATATTAATATTCCAACACTAATAATCGCTGTCCACTTTATTATTGTTGTCAGTCAGCATTTTGCACAGTAACACAATTTAAATTGTAAATTTTGAGGTGAAGGAATTAAATCTCTAATCCAAGTTATCTATTAATCTTTTATAACAATTTTCATGAACCCAGTTTTATCCATACCAAGACCTCCAATGTCTACAGTATGAAGGGTATTTGTGGGTGAAGTTGCTGCTTCAGAGTCTCTTAATGCAAATACTGTGTGGATATGATTCCCTCTCCACCTTAATGTCACTGAAGGCAGTAAAATTACCACGGGGAAAGTTTTTACAAAAGTTGTCCCCTCTGAGGTTAATTAAAAGAAAATATTTAGCTGTGGTCTTTTTTTTTGCTATTTTGCACTGTTATTGTCCTGAAATAGAGTCAAGATGTGTTTGAATCCTAACAGTAACCATTTAACTGAATTCCTTGGGTCAGATTTGTGTGGAAAAAATTTACTTATTGGTCTCTGTATGTTGTTTGCTTCAAAAGTTACGCTGTTTTCTGTTTATTTCGGATTCAGGTTGACAATAAGTATAATAAAGGGTTAAAAATAAACCCCATAGTACATTATTTCAGCCTGTTAACTGGCAGAATCTTAAAATAGACACTTCAAGAATTAATAAAAAAAACATCCTATGCGCATGGACCTATGTTACCATCTAAACTAAATCTGTTCTGTCAATTTTTTTTTTCTTTCCAGCTTTATGGCTCATCATTGTGTTTGTGGGAGTTGCAGCACTCTTAATAACTATTGTTATTGTTGTTGGACTCATCATATGGAAGAAAACTAAAGGTGAGAGCAACCACAGATATTATAAACAAGAAGTTTTGATGAACCTGGATTTTTATTGTTGAAGCTAAAGTCGACTCTCTTTTGTCTCTTCAGGAAAAAAAACCCAGATGGATGAAAACACTGTGAGTTTTACGGCTGAGTAATCAAATGTTTCTACAGTTATGACAGAGCTGAATCAGCTGCTCTCTGACAGAGTCATCCAAATCTAAACAGCCTTCACAGAGCCAGTGTTTGACCACATGGAAGTAGACTCTGTTTGTTTGTTGTTTTCAGGGACGGAGCTTAAACCCTGCAGTGAGTCCAGAAAGCAGTCAGGACACGGTGAGATCTCACACTACACCCAGGACAAAGTTACACTCACTGTTTTTAGATTTGTTGTTCAAAATGTAGCTCTATGAGACACACAGTGACTCTTGAATCTAAGTTCTTTCTGCAAGAGAAGAAGTGGGGAGTCTGATGATGCAGCTGGACGACACCAGAACAGACCAGAACACAATCAAGTCCACATGTTAGTGAGCAGCACATTATGTTGTCTTCTCTGTGTAGGCTGATCCTGAAGATGGTGTTTCCTACGCCTCCATCAGCTACACCAGGAAGACCAACAGTAAAGGCCGGGTAAGCTGTCTGATTGGTTCTAGTGATGATGGCAGTGAATGAAAACACTTCTCTCATTTAATGTTGTGTAATTTCTGTGTTGTGCTGTTTGTCTCTTTTCCAGGTTCTGGGTAAAGATGGTGATGATGAAGATGATGCAGTGACCTACAGCAGCGTGAAAGCTTCCTCTTCTTCTGCTGGAGCCTCAGCTGATCAGCTGATTAAAGCAACAACTGACATATGAGAGGAAAAAGAAAGGACAGTCACAATGAGGAAGTGACTAATTACAGGAAACAGATACAACTTTTTTCTTTAAGGAGCAACTCGTAGATTTACAAGTAGAAGAAGCAGAGAGAAAAGAGAGACAGAGAGACATGATGGTTGAGTTCAGATGGATTAAAGTGTTTTTATTTCTGATGCTGGTGCTTCATTTAACAGGTAAGAATATATAGAAAATCTATCAGACTACTGTTGTGGCAGAAAATTGTGTCCTCTTATATTCAATCTTTTTATGATTTATTTTACTATTATTATTACTATTGTTATTACTAATATAATTATGTCTTATAGATATATATGTATTGTGTTTTTATCCTTAACCTTTCCTCTCCTATACTGCTTATGTTAGTCCGTCCACATTTACTAGGGTTTAAGTCAGAGCCGTCAGATTGTTTTGGTGTTTCCTCTCTTGTTGTTCCTCTCCTCTCCTGGAATGATCATTCAAGGCTGAGAGAGGATCTCTGTTCCCCAAAACATAGAAACCTAGACTGTGTAAATGATTATGCATCCCTTTGCTCGGGGCCAGACGCCTGAAGCCACCCTAGGCGGCAGGTCTCTGGACCAGCTGTATATGTGTTTTAGTACTTCTGTTTATTCTTTTATTAATAAATTCTTAAAAGACAACGGTTGGTTGTTACTGAATTATTTGCTCAATCCCTCACCAGCAAGATACAATTTACACGACAACTACCAGAAACATTAAAAAAGCTGAGTTATTAGTATTTATTACTTAACCTAAATTTAACCAAGACGTCAAGTGTTTTACTTTCTTAAAATTTTCAATGTTTCTCTCACATCTTCTCAGCAGCCAGTCAGCTTTTCCTTTCATTTTTCTGTTATTTACAGTGAGTATTACATCATAATGAACAGTTCTGAAACAATTTATCAACCAAATCTTTTAATATGGACGACTGGAAGCTGCATGTAATGTGATATTAAACTGACTGGCACCTGCCTGAACTATAAGGCTCTATTCAGTATTTAAGTTAAATTATCACCATTGTCTCTCAACAAACACTGAAAAGGCCTCAGAGAGTATTCTAGGATATAGCATAACTTATGCTGTAGTACTCCCTTCCTGCACTTATCTGTATGAACACTTCTGTACTTCTGGTTAGATGCAAACTACATTTCATTAGCGTGTACCCGTACTCTGCATAATGATAAAGCTGATTCTAATCTAATGAGTCCAGAGAGCAACATGTGTCATCAGAGTGTTGGTTGGTTGTTCCTGAGAGCCTGATTAGAAGGTAAACCTTCCAGAGCTGCTGTTGTTAACCACATTAACAAAAAATACTTCTCATTCAGTTCTCAGAAAACATTACAAAGCTACAAAGAGGAACCAACAATTCTTAAACCACTACATCACCACATCACATTTGTTTTCCGCCAGTTTCATGATTTTGGACCACGAGCCTCTGGTTCCCTCCACATTATTGGTTTTGCTGAAAACTCGAAGACATCAGTTGCTCTTCTTGCTGTTAAAATATTTATAAGAAAGAAAACGAGAAAAACTGATGGACTCAACAACAAAGAATGAAAAAAGATGCAAGTCACTATAAGGAAGTAACACTTTAATAACGGGAAGTAGATCCCGCATCTCTCTTCAAGACGCACAAGTTCAGAGACAGTTGAGGGCGTGAGAACAAGAGAGAGAGAAGCAAGATGGTTCAATTCAGATGGATTAACGTGTCTTTATTTGTGATACTCGTGCTTCAGTTTACAGGTAAGGATTCACAAAACACATACATGCATAAAATAAACATTACAAAACATTACTAATAGTGTTTAAGAAGCTAACCTTAAAGTTTGATAGCCAAGTTTACTGTTTGTTTTGAACCTGGTGAGTTGAGTGGATTCTTGTAAAAGGAAAATACTGTACACTGTTTGTTATTCTCACACATAACTATAAATATAAAAGCCATATTCCTCTCACAGCTCATTTTTTACATTTATCTATCATCTTCAACAGCAGCAACTGGGCAGAACCTCTCCTTCACTGTCAGAGTTGGAGATGAAGTCACTTTGCATTGTGGAAATGTGATACAAAATCAGGATAATTGTGACGGGACTTCCTGGTTGGTCAGTCGTGATATTGGGGCAGCAGCAACAGAGCTGATTACACATGGGAAAAATGGGATTTCCAAATCTAAATCTGACAGACTGAGTGTTACAGAGAACTGTTTTCTGGTTATAAAGAAGGTCACATTCGAGGATGTTGGTCGTTACACCTGCAGACAGTTCAAGAAATCAGGACAACAACAAGGTCCAGACTCTCTGGTTCTTCTGTCTGTTATTAACAGTGAGTATTTCCATCATAATGTTTTCAGCTCAAACTGTCTTGTTAGAACAATATACTGAAACATTACAATAATTATGATCACAGTGATGAAGTTAACTTTACTCTTGTTGTCTTTCTCTCACAATATCTCCATCTTCACCAGTTGAACAATATCAGAACAATGATACAGTCGGCTTCATCTGCTCTATGTTGACATATGGAAGGTGTGGACACACAGTCGAGTGGTTGTATGAGGGTAATAAGAACAACATGTTGACATCACAGGGTTCCTGTTCAGCCACTGTGGTTTTTACAACTCCTCCTCTTAGCCAGAAGTCAAACTATTGTGAGTTACTGAAGTGTAAAGTGACAGATAATAAGAGTGGCCAGATGCTGCTGTGTAGCGTTGACCTCCAGTCCTCATGTGAGAAAACAGGTAGGTTTGATTTTATTTGATGAATTTTAATGTTTAGGATTAGAACATTATTCTTTCTCATTTTGTTAACATGAGGTATTTTTTCATATCTTCTTGTGTTCTTTCATATCGTATTCACCAAAATCTAAAGGAAGCACATTAGAGGGGAAAAACAAAACACCATCTGGAAATGATGAAACAAAACAAGGTAGTGACTAAACATCTTACATCTCTCTCTCTCTTTCCTTGTGAAGTCTACATTATGAATGATTGTCACTCGGCTATGTTTGGTACTCCTCTACACATGTGAGATTAAATCTGGAACAATTTTTTTTTAGAAAACTAGAAGTATAGAAGTAGTTTTAAAAGGTCTGGATTTGTGTTGGCATGAAATCTTTATCAATAATAAAATTCACGTCAACCAAGGACACTTTCCAACAGAACTGAACTGTGCAGTCAAAATGTTTCTAATGTTTTCAGAATCGTTCTGGAGGTTCATCATTGTGTCTGTGGGTTTAGCAGCACTCATAATAATTGTTGTGGCAGTCAACATCTGGACAAGAACTAAAGGTGAGAACATTCACAGATGAAACTCAGAAACAGGAAGTTTTGATAAAGCTGGATTTTCACTGTGGAAACTAAAGTCGACTCTTTCTCTTTTCTTTTCAGGGACAAAAACACAGATGGATGAAAACACAGTGAGTTTATAATGTTTTTACAGTTGGTACTTTACACACCAAACCAGTGTTTGTGACATCTGTTCTTCATTCTGAAGTGTAGATATAGATAGAAGAAGACAAACAGAAACAGGACTCACTGAGTTGTACTGAAGTGGCCTTAGCAGCAAAGTTCAAAGGATTCATTGCATATAAAAATTAAACAAAAGAATATTACAATAAAAAATTAAATGGATGCAAACATTAGATAAACATGACAATTTAATCACAACACCAACACAAACTACAGCCTCCAAAGACGCCATTCTCACTTAACCTCTAGCGGCTTTAAACAACACAGATAGTTTGGTTTTGGTCAGTCAGCTGGAGGAACATGTGACAGTTTAGGGTAGCCTACTTTTGGTTTTATTTACTATATATTTATTTTCTTTGACTTTATGTCCTTTGTTACCACAAAAACACTTCCTCTCTCAGTGGCAGAAACATGTAACAGTCACTGACGATGCGTTCAGATCATTTCATATCTCCATGTGTTACATTAATTTACATTTATTCATTTAGCTGATGCTTTCATCCAAAGCGACTTACAATTGCTATACATGCCAGAGGTCAAACACCTCTGGAGCAACTAGGGGTTAAGTGTCTTGCTCAGTGACACAATGGTGGATGGCTCACAATGGGGGATTGAACCCAGGTCTCTCACACCAAAGGCATAGTCTTATCCATTGCGCCAGAGTGAGGGTTTGTTTGTGTTTCACAGGTGAATAATGATGAAGATGAAGATGATGGTGTGGTGAACTATGAAAACGATGGAGACCCTTCTGCCTCTGTCAGACTCCACTGATCAACAACTTCCATATCAACATCAGCTCATCAGAGAAAAGACTCCACTGCAGTTAAATAACAGCACATTTACACGAGTAGCTGAAGCCTTTAGAGAACAAAAATCTCATAAGATCATTTTGGGTTTTGTTTGTTGACTGTTTTTGTTTTTATTTATCAGTGTGAGAAATGTTTGTGTGTTTTTTCAGCTGTTTCTATTTCATTCTGACTTTGAACAACAATATTTAAGTCTTGATTTCATCTCATATCAGGAAGTCCACTGTGAATGGTCCATATTTGTACAGCACCTTTCTAGTCTTTTTGACCACTCAAAGCACTTTTATATGACATCTGCATTCACCATTCACACACTGAGCCTAATGGCTCAAACAGAAACTAAGATTCACACACATTCATACAGAGGTAATTCAGGGTTCAGTATCTTGCCCAAGGACACTTTGACATGCAGCCTAGAGGAGCCGGGGATTGAACCGCTGACCTTCCGATTAACAGGTAACCCGCTGTACCTCCTGAGCCCCAGCCGCCCCGCTTTGAGTTTTATAAAATGTCTTTTCCTGCATCAGTTGTGAAAATCTTTATTTTCTGCAGCCAGTTCAGAACACAGCAGCTGGATTTCAGCTTCATTTAACAGGAACGAGCATTTAACTCTTCAGACCTGATTTTAAGGTTCACTGTTTGTTTTTGAAGCTACAGCAGCTTGAGCTCAGTTTCATGTCTCTGTGTACAGAATAACTCATTTTAATTCACTTTCATTTAACATGTCTCAGGGAAGTAGTTTTCATCAGGATTCAATAAACGCCTCTTTGTCTTATGTCCCAATAAAAAGTCAACTGTCAGTTCCTGAGAGCCTCGTGTGTTTCTGATGTTTATCTGGTCATCATTAGGGGGTAAAACCTGCAGAGCTCTGCTGCTGTTGTTAACCACATCCTCACTGAAACACATCCTCTTCACATCTCTGAACAAAAATACCTGCAAAGATACAATGAAATCACCATCTAAATAAGAAGTTGCAGTTTTGCAAACATTTATCTTAACTAACAATCTTCACACCTTCAACTTCCTCATCTTCTTCTTTTCAGGTGGTGAAACACGTCATTGTCACAAATACACCGGACTGAACAAACTGTGAACTTGAGCCTTAATATAGTTTGTTTGTTTCAGTGTTAGTTTGGCTCAGTGCAGAAACATATTCCTTTGTCTCGTGATCACTGACTTTATCATATGTGTTTGTAGATGGTGGATCTTTGTCAGGCTGCTGTGACCTCTGACCTCTGAGCTCTTTACTGATGGCTGAATCTCATATTGTGAAAATTGTAACAGAGTATTTGGCTGTTTGGACATCGACAATAAATTCAGAGAGACTGAAATCTAAAACCATAGACAGTATATTACCAACCTGCAGATTTGAATGGAGAGCAGTGAAGCCAGTTTTGGTCCCATGAAATACTACAGGGCTACTTCCTGTTGGCACCAGCTACTACAGCGCATGATCCACAGCATAACTGTGAAGAAACTGGCAGAAACACAGTAATTCTAGCAGCTGCACAAACAAAAGTGTGTGATTGTCACTGTTTAATCTGCCCACCTACAAGGTTCACCTGAAAAACACCAACGCAGCGTCACTGATGGCTGAATAGTTTCTTTAGATTCACAGAGAGTTTATAATCTAACCAACACAGTTACATTGGTCATGTGCGACGGGGTGTCTCAGGGTTTTGACGTCATATTGGGGCCTACATGGATCCATGCAGGCTTTGGTCAGCTTCACTGTTTGATCTCTGGTTTACCCCCTTTGTCTAAAACAGACTAAAAGTCACTATGAGGAAGTGACATCATCCTAACCACAGGAAGTAGCTGCAGCGTCTCTCTACTAAAGCACTAGTTTAGAAACTCAGACAGTTCTGAGCACGAGAACAAGAGACAGAAGAAGGAGAGTGTTGTATATCCACGAACATGAAACTGTTAAAAAAAACATGTGAACTTTGATTCATTATTCTGATGTTTTAATATTCTTTTCTATCAATCTATTCTAGATTTTCATTTAGCTGACGCTTTTATCCAGAGAAACTTACAATTGCTTTATATGTCAGAGGTCGCACGCCTCTGGAGCAACTAAGGGTTAAGTGTCTTGCTCAGGGACACATTGGTGGACGTGTCACCGTGGGGGATTGAACCTGGGTCTCTCACACTAAAGGCATGTGTCCACTGCACCATCACCCCCCCCAAATAGTAGTTTGCTACTTAACCACAAGAGCCTGCATTCAAAGACTCACAGGAAGTGAGCCTCCAACCTGCAGATAGCATAGAGTTTATTTAGCTTATGATGAAAATGTGTGCGATATTAACAAGTGATGAACGTGAAGTTTGTAAGATTAAAGAAGGATGTGAAATAACTGAAAACGATTGAGGACGCTAAACTAAATTTACCTAATCATGATTGATTTACTGATTTATTAGATGACTGATTTATTAAGTAAAAGAAATTTAAAATCTAACAGTATCAACGTGTGTTGCCTCTAACGAGTGTATTACTTATGATAGATGTATTGATTGATTGATGTATTGTAATGTGATCAGCTGTGCTTACTGATCAATTGATTCAGTTCATGATGATTTATTTCTAAGCTCACTTTAAAACTTAGTTTGGACTAAGTAGAGAGGACGTTGCAGGTATGTGGGTGAGATGGGAGCTATTTCTGAATGTCAAAAGGAAGCCATACATGGGGCCCTCTGTGAAAAGGCAGGAAGACAGACAGGCATGTATTAACCGCATGTATTAAAAGATACCTGATCACGCGTGGACTGAATGCACGCCAGAAAACATCCAATCACAGAGTACTTGACATGCTTTGTCTGAGTGAACAGTGTAGGACGTCCAATCACAAAAGGACATGTCTGCATGGACACTAGAGATCAACCAATCCCAGCAAGCGTTGAGCATCCGAAGTATACTGTCACATCCTGTCTGTTTATCTATGTAAGCTGTAGCTTTTGGTATTATAATACACATTCCTCTGTTCTTTTTCTTTCACTGGGACCTTGTTAGCTTTTGTGTAAACTGAAGTTTATTAAAGAAATTTCCTTTGGGCCTGTTGCTCAAAGGTACATAGAGAAAGTCTCCTATTGTTTCCTTGTTTCTTCCTCCTCCTGAGCTCGGTGAGTAATTCCACTCTGCTACACATTAGCACAGGGCCACACCTCACACTGATTAAAACTCCTAACTGGTTAAAAGGAGTTCCTACCAGCCTGTCCACTCCGATCAGGGAGGTTACTGAGACACCTGGGGGGAAGCGTTTGGTACAAATGTGGACCAGATCCTTGCAACCAAAACTTTTGTTAGCAGGTCCCTACCCTGGAGTGGGCACAGAGAACTAGATAGAGCGAGACTTCCTACAAGAGACACAGAATCATGATGGTTGAGTTCAAATGGATTTCTTTATTTCTTACAGCTGCTTCAGTTTACAGGTAAGAATACATATATCACATATAAATGGAAGGCACACTGTAAAAAATTACTTTATCAATATTATTAAAGATTCTTTATTAGCTACGTTTGATTTAACTAAGAAAACCAAATCTGTTCCATGTATCATCCGATCATTCAATTATTCCATTTAATCAGGCAAACAAAAACAAAAACCAAATCAGTATCTCGTTTTTCTTTATGAAAACTGACGTTTGTTTCCTTGCTTTCAGCTCGAAACGGGAAATATAATAAACAAGGAAACCAAAACAAAATAATAGGTCGAATTTCTTTATTTCCCACGGTGCTGTCCATTCTGTTTTGTGCATGTGCAGTAGATAATCTTCAACCACGTGGAGCAGGCCTACAAAGCAGTTCCTCAATGGCAAGACTGTATGGCTGCATCTTGGAGCCTCTCGTCTCACGCCCTCATCATCATCCGCAAGCTTCTACGTTGCAAAATAAAAGCTAGCGTCTGGTTCGATCTTCCTTGTAGTTTAGTGTTTTTGAATTGAATTGTAAGGGCAATCATGCGAATAAAAAAATACTATTAAAATATCTGTCAATAAGATAAAGAGATTATCA